GCCTGTCCGGCTGCCCCAGCACTTCCGGGTTCCTCATGGTGCCGGACCATCAGGAGTCCCGGAGCATTGGATGCCGGACTAATGGAGTTTTACTGTAAAATCTGTATTTACAGAGTGGGTGAATAACATGGCAACCCTTAAGATACCTCCTCACACAAAGGAACAATATGGTGTGTGTTTACAGCTGGTTCCTTCTCAGATTGCATCAATGCTGATCGTAAAGCTTCCCAACACACATTTTGTTGCACAAACAGGGATGCTAGCCTTTCTCCGGCTCACCTCTCAGCTTGAACAGTTACATGATGCCTACCTAAGTCCACTTCCTCCTTCACTTTGAGGCTAGAGAAAGAAGTGTTATGTTCCTCTCCTAAACCATTGTAGCTTTGCTGTGCACAGTCATCAAGAGAAAGCTGCAATTCAAGAATTAGTGAAAGTGGCTTGTTTAGAAAGGGCTTTGGGATCCTTCTGGATTAAAGTTGATATATAAATAATAGGCGTGGGGAACAGAAAACTTGGTTAGAAGTACAACCTGTCACATTAAATCCTAAGGGGTTGCCTGGTCCTACTCCCCCCTGCCAAAAGTGATTTATGTCCTCTGCAGAAGGCCAGCCTAGTGCAAAGTGGGGTGAGCTGGGCAGTAGGGACGTAAGCGACTAGTTGACTATCCGATAAGCATAAGCTTATGCTTATTGGATAGTTGACTAGTCCCTCAACTAATCGCTTCTCCCCACTTGCTGCCTCTGTTAGAGAGGTCGCAATGGGAGGGAACAGGCTGCCGCGCTCTGCCGACCAGCTGATGATCAGCTGTTTGTCGGCAGATCGGGGCAGTCTGGACGCGCCGCTGTCAACAAGGAAGCCTTTGTCAACCGGCGCAGGTATGCCTCGTTTCATGCTGTTGACAGCGGCGCGTCCAGACTGCCCCAATCTGCCGACAAACAGCTGATCATCAGCTGGTCGGCAGAGCGTGGCAGCCATTTAAATTTAAATGAAGCCGCAATTATTTAAATCGTGGCTTCATTTCCCTCTGCCGATCAGTCTAATCTACATGGCTCCATCAACGGAGCCATGTAGTTTAGACACACCCTAAGAGTTAAACATTGTTATAAATCAACTGAAACCCACTCTCAAGGTGGAAGGTTACTTACTGAGTATTGGATAAATGGGTCAACATTAATGTCCAACGAAGCATGGGAAGATGTGGTGACAATTAAAAGTAGGAAACAGGAAGCTATAATGCCCAGGAATGGCATTGCACTCAATACTTTATGGCAGAACCTGAAAGAAAAATACAGCAAAAGGTTAGGAATTTTTCTATTGATTTGCATAGTGAGGAACATTAATAAACTCCATGGAAAAGTGCTATTTTCAGTCAAACTACAGTCACTCTAATGATAGATAGGAAGTTTATTTATTTATTTTATTTTATTTATTTAAATATTTTTACCCCGCCTTTCTATTTAAAATATTTAAGGCAGCTTACAAGAACAAACAAAAAAATATAAATATATATAAAAATTTAAAATATGAGACCTCAGAGGGACATAACCAGCTAAAAACATATTGGGAAGAGGAACACACATACATACAGACTCAAACATTAATAAAAGTATGAGTAAAAAGAGTGGCTTTAGCCTGATGTCGGAACAATGCTAGCGTTGGCGCCATGCGAATATCCCGAGGAAGAGAATTCCACAGCCTGGGAGCAAAAGCCAAGAATGCCCTGTTCCGCGTAGATGTTAATCTTATCTCCGCAAGTGGGGGAACACGAAGCAAAGCCTCCCCAGCTGACCTCAATCCCCGGGCAGGTTCATATGGGAGAAGACGGTCCTTCAGATACCCTGGACCCAACTCATTTAAGGCTTTATAGGTCATAACTAAAACCTTAAATTGTGCCCGGAAACATACCGGAAGCCAGTGCAGCTGCTGAAGCACTGGCATAATGTGCTCCGTATAACTAGTATTGGTTAAAACTTGAGCAGCCGCATTCTGGACCAGTTGAAGTTTCCGAAGGCTCTTTAGAGGCTGCCCTACGTAAAGTGCATTACAGTAATCCAGTCGGGATGAAACAAGAGCATGGATCACTGTGGCCAAGACATGTTTGTTCAGTAAGGGTTGCAGCTGGCGGATTAAACGAAGTTGCCCAAAAGCACTCCTGGCCACCGAAGAAATCTGATTTTCAAATTTTAAAAAAGGATCCAGGAGGACTCCCAAGCTGCGTACCTGTTCTTTCATGGGGAGAGTAACCCCGTCTAGAACGGTGCCATGCCACATTCACGCACAGATGAGCTCCTGATGCACAGGACCTGTCTTATCTGGGTTCAACTTCAGCTTATTTGACTTCATCCAAACCATCACTGCCTCCAGACACCGATTTAGATCAGTCATTACCACACCTGGTTCTAATGTCACAGGGAAATAGAGTTGGCTTTCATCTGCATATTGGTGGCAAAAACCGTCTTCCAAAACTCCTTATGACCTCTCCCAGTTGCTTCATGTAGTTATTAAACAGCATAGGGGACAAGATGGAACCTTGCATGACCTCATAGCACAATCGCCACGGGGTCGAATAGCAGCCTCCTAGCTCCACCTTCTGAAAGCGTCCTAACAGGTAGGACCGGAACCATTGCAAAACAGTGCCTCCAATACCCAGCTCCACCAGGTGTCCCAGAAGGATATCATGGTCAATGGTATCAAAAGCCACTGAGAGGTCTAGGAGAATCAACAGGGATGCACTCCCCTTGTCTATCTCCCGGCCTAAATCGACTACCAGGACGACCAAAGCTGTTTCAGTTCCATAACCAGGCATAAAGCCAGACTGAAATGGATCTAAGTAGTCTGTTCCTTCCAAGAAAGCTTGGAGTTGCAGCACCACCGCCCGCTCGAGTACCTTGCCCAAGAAGGGAATATTAGCAATTGGGCGATAGTTATTTAAGTCATGTGGGTCCAGGGAGGTCTTCTTAAGTAACGGTTTTATCACTGCTTCTTTCAAGGCAGCAGGAACCATACCAGATCTAAAAGACGCATTAATAATCCCCTGGACCCAGCCAGTTATACCTTCCTGGCTAGATTTAATAAGCCATGAAGGGCAGGGGTCAAGTGAGCACTCCTCCAAGCATCCTGTCCACATCCTCAGTCTGCAATAGCTGAAACTGAACCAGAGAAAAAAGACTGGGTGGTGCACTCAACACATTCTGTGCCCCACTGACACAGCAACCAGAGTCTAAATCCAACTGGATGCGGGTGATCTTATTAGCAAAATGCTTTGCAAACAGATTGCAGCCGGGGGCCAAAGGCTCCTCTATTTCGTCACGAGTGCCAGACTGCAACAGGCCCTGCACTACTTGAAACAATTCCGCTGGACGGCATTGTGCGGATGCGATACGGATGGAGAAGTAGCTTTTCTTCACTGTCAGCACCGTCACAGAGTAAGCTCGCAGTTCAGCCACAGCCGATCAGACTCAGCTCTAGTTCTCCTCCAGCAGCGTTCTAGCCGTCGCACAGACTGTTTTGCTGCCATCAGCTCCCTAGAAAACCAGGGAGCAAACTTGGCTCGACTGGTCTGAAGAGGGCGCTTAGGAGCAATCATATCAACTGCCCGGTCTACCTCGGTGTTCAATGTATCAACTAGGGTATCGATCATCTTAATTGGTCCTCCGCCTCTGTGGAGGGGAAGGTCAGCAGACCAAGTAGTGATCAGTCCATGACAAAGGGAGTGTAGCCACATCCCTTATCCCAAGAACTCTATCACCCATAGTCCAAAAAACCAAATCAAGTGTATGACTTGCAACATGTGTTGGGTCAGTTATTTCTTGGGATAATCCTAGGGTGGTCATGGTATCCATAAAATCTTGGGCTGGACCAAACAGAACAGCCTCAACGTGAATATTTAAAGTTCCTCAAGACCAAAGCCTCGGTGTCCTCAATATCATGTCTGAGACCACATCGGCCAGCTTGAGCAGAGCATCAGCCGTAGAGTGAGGTGGGCGGTGCACAAGCAGCATACCCAACCTATCCTGGCCACCCAACATCAAGTACAGACATTCAAATTTGACACTTTGTTGGACCACAACCCTAGCTAGTGAGATAGTATCTCGATAGACAATTGCCACCCCACCTCCCTAACCATTAAGATGTGGCTGATGCTGTACCGAGAACCCAGCTGGGCACAGTTGGGAAAGGTCGACGCCTCCCTCCACTCTCAGCCAAGTCTCAGTGATACAAGCCAGGTCAGCCCCTTCATTCAGAATTAAATTGTGGATGACAGCTGTATTGTGGGATACTGACCTGGCATTCAGCAACAGCACCCTCAGGGCTGATGGCCAGGTATTAAAGATCCCAAAATTTTTAAGGCTGGGAATAGGACTGGAAAAAGGAATAGCACGTAACTGTCTAAACCTCATTCCCCTTGGCTGGCCATTCAGGATCTTACTTCCATATCTTACCCTACCTGTCGCAACTGTCACGATGCCATCTGAGCCCTCCTCCTTAGGAACCCCATCTGTGCCAAACCACATATTGGCGGTGGGGGAGGGGGAGCAGAACAAACACACACCTTCAGTTTGGGTAGCTAAAGGGAACTTCCTCTCACCAAGAACCCTCGCCTGCCCTCCCTGCTCTCACCAGGGACTGATTAGGCCACCACACAACCAAGTGTGCTGCTCTCACCAGCACACACAAACACACACTCAATTACAATCTACCATCACAGCACACACCCTTGCCCTTGGTCTGCCCCAAAGGGCTCCCCCAAAAGGGCAGCCCCCTTTGAATCAGCCGCTTTTCCGGAATAAGCTGCGAGCTGTCTACACTGGCCCTTGAATTTCCGGAAAAGCAACGACGCTGTACTGTACAAAATCAGCCGCTATTCCGGAAAAACTATTCTGCTCCCGCTTGGCATAAGTCCTTATTCCGGAACACTGTTCCGGAAAAGGGCCAGTGTAGACAGCCCAGTAGTCTTTTCCGGAAAAGCAGGGCTTTTCCGGAAAAGCAGCCTGCCAATGTAGACGCTCCTTTTCCGGAAAAACTGAAAACGGAATAGTATTCCATTTTAAGCAGTTCCGGAAATTCATGCCAGTGTAGACACAGCCAAGGTGTAGATGTAGAAAAGGCAAGATCAAGAGCAGAGCCCCAAGGAATCCCTACAGAAAGCTGGAGGGGGTCACGGGGATGATGAGGGTCCTTTGCAGGACTTGCTGAAGGAGCGATTAGATAGGTCAGAGGAGAGCCAGAAGAGAACGGAGCCCCCTAAACCAAAGGGGACAAGATTTCAAGAACAAGACCATGGCAGACCGTGCAACATGGCTGACAGGCCAACGAGGGTGAGAGTGGAGAACTAATTCTGAGATTTAGCTAGGAAAAGGTCATTACAGACTTTGGAGAGAATGGTTTCAGTGGAGTACAAGAGTAAGAAGGTACATTGTGAGGGTCTACGATGGAACTGGAGGAGAACTCCACCCAGTCATTGTACGTCATGCAGTCAATGGACTTAGAGACAGAAGGGAGATGGGGAGGCAAGTGAAGGTGATTAAGCTGGGAGAATTACAGCATGTTTGTATGGGGGAGGAGGAAAGCCAGAGGAGAGTGAGAGGTTCAGAAAAGAGTATGGCAATGGATGAGAGTGAGCAGGAGGGAGTCCAGGAGATGGGATGAGCCCATAGGCACATGTGAACGGGTTACAGGAGGCAGGGGAGGTTACAGAATTGCTCCAAGAAGTGGAGGGAACCCAGGGCTGGGGCTGGGGACAGCCGTCCTTCAGCATAGCCCAGACTGCGCCAGGCTGCCCTTGCCTCCCCTCCCCTCAGTCCCTAGTGCCACCTGGAATGCATCCCCCAAGGCTCTGGCAGTGATCTAAAGGGTCTGGGGCTCTGGCCACCAACACTGCTGCAGTAGCAGTGACAGTGGTCAGAAGCTCTAGACCCTTTTGAATTGCAGGGCTCTGGGGCAACTGCCCCCTTTGCCCCACCCTCTCTGCAGGCCTGACAGGAAGAGAGCCGCCAAGACACTTCTATGTCTGTGCCAGGGAAGGAGGAGAGAGTCGTAGGAGGGGAAGGAAGGCAAGCGAGGCGAGGAGTGGATCATGTTCGATTTTCCTCATCTTCTCTTGGAAGACATTGGCGAGTGCCTGTGTGGAAAGAAAGCAAAGGCTGGAGGAAGAGAGGGTTTGAAAAGTGATTCACAGGCGGGAAAGGGGGCATGAGACTGAATTAAGGCAGAGAAGTAGACTTGCTTAGTTAGGAAGATGGCAGAATGAAGGCAAAGGGGATTAATTTATAGTATAGGAAGTCAGGCCGGCCATGCGATTTCTGCTCTGGGGGTATGTCTACACTACCCCCCTAGTTCGAACTAGGGGGGTAATGTAGTCATACGGAGTTGCAAATGAAGCCCGAGATTTGAATTTCCGGGCTTCATTTGCATAAAGCCGGCCGGAGCCATTTTTAAATGCCGGCTAGGTTGGACCCCGTGCAATTTCCCGTGCTCAATTTGCATAAAGCCGGCCGGAGCCATTTTTAAATGCCGGCTAGGTTGGACCCCGTGCTGCGCGGCTACACACGGCACAGGGTCCGACCTAGCCGGCATTTAAAAATGGCGCCAGCCGGCTTTATGCAAATGAAGCCCGGGAAATTCAAATCCCGGGTTTCATTTGCAACTCCGTATGACTACATTACCCCCCCTAATTCGAACTAGGGGGGTAGTGTAGACATACCCTCAGAGAGCAGAGGGAGTGGGTATTGGGAGACAGCCTGTCAACACTGGTGTAAATCCAGAGTCACTCCACTGGAACAGCTCACTTTGGGGTTACTTTGGTAGGACAGAGGTGGGGTCAGTGATGCCCAACTATAAGGGCGAGGAGCTGCTGTCCTGAGTGGACCCCTCTCCCCAGAACCTATAGAAATCATTAGTGCACAACCAGTGGCTCTCACTGCGCACCGATGCCAGTATTGGAAGCAGCATCCATCACACCAAGCCAGGATCTTGGTTCAGTGCTGATTCCAAAGAAAGAGCGCCTCCTGCTGACTAACAAGCCCCACTCCATGAAATGTTAGAAAAGTGCTTGGAACTCTCCCATCCCACTGTTGACTTAACCTAGACTTGCTTGGCTTGGGAGTGTGCCAGGCCCACCATAGTGCGGCTGCAGGCAAGACAAACTCATGTCTTTTGGAAACTCATGCACTCTTTATGGTACTTTAGGAAAGACTCTCTATAGCAGGGCTACTCAACTGTGGAAGCCTCGGGGGCCACAATAATACTCACAGCACATGCCGAGGGCTGCAACTTAACTGTGGTTGCATATACGTGCAAATATATATGCAAATATATGCAAATAGTTTATTTCACATTGATGGGCATGAATACAAAGATTAAGGCAAGACTACACAACAGGCAGGCCCCATTTAAGTCACTTCTGCTGATATTAATAAAATACAATATTCACTTGATTTCCAACCATATGACAATACTTTTAATGAGCAATGACAGTTCAGGCATTTAATTACTAAAACGCATATCAACAGAAGACCATTATATTGACTCGCTGTTGTGGAATGTGTTCCCAGTGGAGGCCATGTTCAAATGGTCCCACCCGCAGGCCATGTGTTGAGCCCCACGTAAACCCAAACTGCACCATGAGCTGCAAGCAAATGGGCCGCGGGCTGCATACGACCCATGGGCCGCATGTTAAGTAGCCCTGCTCTATAGGCTGCATGCAAACTCTACGAGTCCATACTCCAAACTCTTCAAGGTCCATTCAGTATAGGGAAAATATATGTCGTTAAATATAGGCATGTGCATAAATCCTCAAAACATAGACAAGAATACTTATTATTAATACAACTATCAATCATCAGTGGCGGCCTGTCCATAGCGCAAACTAGGCGGTTGCCTAAGACACCAAATTAAACGGATGTTGAGGCGGGGGCGCCGATTGCACGCCGATTGTGCATTTCGCCTAGGGTGCCAGTTGCTGGCAGCTCATCTAGGGCTGCTCCTGTCAATCATCATCATCATCATTAGTCTTATTGTTGCAGCACCTAGGTGTCAGGGCTCCATGTAATAAAGAAACATAAGAAAGAGGCATCCCCTGCCCTGAAGAGCTTACAATTGAAACAGACTGCAGGTGGATAAAGCAAACAAATTATGAAAGGAAACAATCAACCAATGCTGATCATCATGGAAAACAGCAATTGCTCTGAGACAGGACAGTGCCTTGTGTAGTTTTCATTCTGCCATTTACAAACATATGTGCAACCACGTACACTCTGGGCCACATTCTTTCCCCAAATATGTCATCAGGGAAGCCACATAACTAACAGCAAATGACCCATCATCTGTATCATTAGAAGGTACCTGCAGCTTGCCAAAGCAGATATGCCCTAATTATGAACTGTAAATATTTATGGATTAGGTAAACACTGAGGTGTTCATTTTGATTATACAATGTATCCAAATGGGTGTAAAAATTTATCTTTTAATTAAATTGTTTCAGTAAAGGAAGATACAAAGAACTTTCATATGGTTTCTTCTTTGCATAGAAAAGTACAGTAAGAAGGATTATCTTCCTGGTGAACAAGTGCATTGTTTTGATATTCTTCAAATGTGAAATGAAGCTAAACTACAAGGCAATGGTATATCACCAAATTATCAGCACCATTGTTTAAGATCAGCAAAAGTTGCCTGTTACATCATATTATTTTTGTTGAGATAGCAAAAAGTGAAACTTTGCACAAAAGCATTATTTCTGAAGATCATGAAGTTTTTTTCTCAAGTAGCCTGTTGAAACCATGCTAACGCCCCCGTAGCTTTATGTTTTGAGACAGCTTTTAAGTGATCACCATAGATGCGATTGTATTACATATGTACATTATTTTCAAAAATATGGATAGAGGTAAGAAAACTTTTCTGAGACATTGTGTTAGCATGACAAAGATAGTACTGAGAGCACAATGGGAGAACATAATAAACATCCGTTATTTCTTTCTTCTTTCTTTCTCCTACTTCAGACAGGCTATGTCTAGACTGCAGGCTTCTTTCGGAAGAAGCTTTTCTGGCCGAGAGCTTCTGAAAAAACTTCTTCCAAAATAGAGCGTCCACACTGCGAAAGCGCATCGAAAAAGCAATCTGCTTTTTCGACAGATAGTGTTCACCTCAACGGACGCTATCTCGCATGTAAGCTGTGGACAGAATTACTATGGGCAGAATGGGCACCAGGGCACCTGTGCTTTTTCCTCTTTCCTCTTCTTGCGAAAGAACTCCCTCTTTCCCGCCTTCTGGAAAAAGGCTTCTTCTTTGTAGAAAGAGGTTTACCAATGTCAGAAAAATCCCTCAGTTCTTTTGATTTTTTTTTCAAAAGAACGTGATTGCAGAGTGGACATAATTGAAGTTTTTTCAGAAAAATTGCCGTTTTTCCAAAAAAACTTTGTAGTGTAGACATACCCGCATTCCCTGAGCTTCAGAGTTGTCTAGCTCTAGTTTTGCTTAGTCTTATTCCAAAGACAATTCAAACAAGGTCTAAACAATCTCTAACCACTTTAATTTGCAGTTCCTTAGTCCTTCCTACCTCTTCTCACAAATGTTCTTTCTGTGTTTCTCGCACTGTGACTGTGGGCAACTAAAATCCTAACAGAATTGGGCAGATTTTTTTTTCCTACAGAAAAATTTCTGCAAAACCAAAAAGTTGTTTTTGTCAGAACTTCCAGCAGAACATTTCAGCTGTGATTTCCAACAGGCAGAACTTGAAACACCTGCTCCTTTTTCACTTTGGATAAAAAATTAATTGATAATCCAACAAAGCATCAAAGATTTTCAAGAAAAGCAGACAGTTTCCATGCTTAAAAATCAATCCTTCAATTTTAGAATTGTTAAAACTTTGGTGAGAAATCTTCAGCCAGCCCTCACTCCAGGGCTGATGCAGATCCATTTGCTAGCAA